ATAAAGTGTGAAATAGCAGAGATACTGAGGAGGGGATGTAATATACTCTTAATAGCAGTAACTGTTCCCAAAGGTGGAAAAGTGACCAATGCGGTATCTATTTTTAAGAAAGATTAAAGGGAAAGTTACAGTGATAGACGAAAAAAATTGAACCACTGTGGAGCCCTCATAACTTGGCTCACTCTTATCACTATACTTCAACACATTAATAACTAATTTTTGTTCATTTCTGAGTGTGGCCACTAAGCCAATTCCTGCTCTGAATTGTTTCTTTTCATTTATAGTCTCATTTTTCTATCTGTATTTCTTGATGGGAACTTTGGATTTAAAGCACTGAGCAAACTCTTCATACTATTCTCTTCAATCTTCCTCCTTTATATTTGCTAGTGTTTTCCCTACCAGTTCAACAGTTTCAGTCACAAATTAATTTGCTGGTTTTTTTAAATTTTTATGAGCTTTTTTAGAATTTACTTTGACTAAATTTTAAGCTTCTTCTATTTTATTTATTTCTTCTATTCCATTTTATTTGTTATATATTTGTAGGAGTATTCATCTGTTGCAAATATAGTTGCTGAGCACATCACAGAAATCTTGAGAAAAAGGCAGCGTTGGGCAGTAATTTACTGAGGAGAAGCAGAAGCATATAAAAACTGAATAACTTGTCTACAGTCTTCCAGAAAATCTCTAGCAAAACCAAAACTAGAAAATCAATTCTCCTGAGTCCCTTTTCAGTACATTAACTAAAAGAGTATGCACTTGTTCTACCTACTTTCCTGTTGATAGTTGTATATATACACACACCTGGTTTATGTTGTGGGACTATATATGTGTAAAACAGTTTGCTAGCTATAGAAAAAATAAATGATAGCATCTGCCTTTTCTCTGTGTCATAGCACAATTGCTTCCTGTGGCATAATACCCAGTTATTGTCCAGTCTATTAACTGGCAATTAAGGAAACAATGTGCATCCCTTAGCCAATCGCCAATTCAAATCTGGAGCATCTACTGGATTGAGCAGAAATTACAGGGATCCAGGGCAATGCACCAAAATGTTTTGATTTCTTCTTCAAGGAATGTAACCAACTGACTGATGAGAGGCAAACCACGGCTACATCCTGCAACCCCTCACTTGTTATTCTCTCCCTGATCCTTTTCACCAGTCAACTCTGGCCACTTGGCAAACATTACTTAACATATACTCAATATGGGACATCGTGTACTCAAGTGTCAGCAATATGTAAATAACTTCACTACTAATGACATTACTATCAATCACCCCAGTGCTCCAATGGTATCTGCCCTGAATAAAGAACAACCGACTGATGCTCAATCTGATACAGACAGAGGTGAAATTGGTAAGCAAAAATAAGCATTCTGAAGAGTTCAAAATGACAGTGTAATCTCCTTTGGTTAAAGGATCACATCTAAAATTGGCTGATGTAGTCCATAGTTTAGTGGTCTTCTTGGTTTCTTTAGTTTCATACCAAACTATCATAGATTCAAGCAAAGAACATTTTCAGTCCCCTTTAACAGCCTTAGAGACTCCACCCTATCTTAAGAGATAATGACCTCCAATTTAGCACCTATTGGCTTGACTTCAGCAATGTGCTATACCTGGGTATGAGGCTTTCAGCAGCACTGAAACCTCAGTGTGGAACACCGCAGCATAAGTTCTCAGCACCAGAAGCTATCATAAACACATGAAACCTGCTCTCTGCATTGGCTAAAAAAATAATCTAAACTTCTGAGATGAAGCCAGTGACCAAAAACTTATCATTACTCCAGAAAAAGAAGGAACAAATTAATCTGTGTAAAAGACAGAACTTAATAGTGAGAATTTCCAAAACTGTAGAATGAAAGACCATCAAAAACCTCATCATCATATGGTCTTAAGTGCCAGGCACATTTCTCTGATTTTGCCTTTTCTAAAGTAAGCACATAGCATTGTATTTATTTTTTAACAAAATAGAAAGCATCCTCTCTAGGGAGAGGATGAGAGAATAAACAATACATGAGAGATGCTAGCACACTATTAGAAGGCTTTCCAATGATACAGTAAGGAGTGAAATACAAGAAGAAGGTTAGGCAAAACTAAGCTAGAATAAAAGTGTGGTTTTTAAAATGTAGTCTCTTAGAGTATGTATAAACTGCATCCCTGCTGAGCGCTGGACAGACTTTGAAAAACCAAGTCACACCCACCTGCCCCAACTCATTGTGCAACAAACCTTGGAAAAGTATGCCAGATTCATAAATGTTTTTCTTCAAAAACCAGCACTACCACTGAGGAAATAAGCCTCATCCACTTGCACTCCTCAGTCCATGACCAAACTGACAAGCTAGGTTTGTACACGATTTAGACTGAACAAGAATACATGCCCCACTTAAGGTCTTAAAGACAAGCACTTGTAGTCATGGCTTAATTGTCCCAGACTGGTCTCACACTAAGCAAGAATAAGCAAGTGGACCTGTTTCTGTAGCAGACCCCCCTGTGCTCAACAGGGAGGCAGTTCAGACCTGCCCTTGACAACTTCACCCATGCTTATGTAAAAATGTAATAATTCCCCTCAAATTTCTCCCTGACTTCTTTTAACCTCTGCTTTCTTGGTTAATAACAGGTTTTAGGCCACTTCCCTGAAAAGCAAGAGAAATAGAAAAGGGGATATAAAGCTATCCTCCGCTGAGCCTAAGAATGTTTGTAACACAACATGATTTGGCTGGACAAATTTTTCAGCAGATATCTTGATAACATAACCTCTTCTCCCCATTATTCTGACTGTCTGAACTCCTGTCAGATGGATTTCAGCGGGTAGGAAATAAGCAAGTATGCCAGATTGTCCATCATTACCTTCTGAATCTGCCTGTCATTATCCTATGAGTCAATTCCTTTTGGATCAAAACTCAAGGAGCAAATGCCTGCCTAGAGTACATGGAACACTTAGTGCTTATAATAAATGTGCTTAAAACTGGAGTGGCAGTCATAAGCTTATTGTGAAAATGTTTTCTGCTTTTGGCAGAATACACTACATTTTTTCTTATTACAAAGCATTCCTGATTTAACATATGGAAGATACAAGTAAATATATTTTCATGTTGATTTCTTAACATTAAAGCCAACTTCATATTAAAGTTGAAATCTTAATAGTAAAGCTGTCTGTTTACCTACTTATAAATGTAAAGAGATAATGAAAGTGCATGGGAATGATACAATTAAGAGATTATGAAGGCAATAATTAATTTCTTGATTAAAGGAAAAGAATCACAGCATTCCTCAGCATTCAATTAAATGGAGGTGGAGCATGGGAAGTAACTCATTTTTCCTGAGATAACTTAGCACAGAAGCTTACTAAATGGAGATAAATACCTGAAATTAAGCTAGCTTTGTTTGCAGAATTTTACAAATTACCCCACATACCACATAATGTTGTGAAAGTATCAACAGAAACATGTTGTAAACATATCCGTTAGCAGTTTGTTTGTCCCCGCATTGATTATAAGGTTGTAATTCCTCACTGTATACAAGGTATTGCACACAGTAAGAGGTCAGATCTCCAGATCTGAGAACAGGACCTGAGTGGTCAGGGGAAAATTCAAGCGTTGACTGCATATGTTGGACCATGGCATACACACAGAGCTACTCTGATTAACCCTAATTCCACCTAGCCACGGCCATTCAAACACCTGATCATCTTTTTGGCCACTCCGGAAGACTCTGAGAGGGAAGTATATGGCATAGGGCTAATTATGCCATCTTTATGCTTTCTGTGATTTTTCAATGTCAGTATCAACCTGCTTGCTTTGTTAAAGCAGACCTCTCTCTTCTTTGTCTCACCCCATACATCACAAAGGGGATGGAACTGGTGGCCATCATTAAACTGCTAAAGGGCTCTGGAGAATTTAACATGACATAAATGTAAACTGTGAATCAAAGCTAACTTTTTTATTGTCTTAGCTGGCCAGCAGACATTATTAATGGGCATGTCTATACAGACATTATTAATGGTCATCATATGATGCAGCCATATTTAGTGTCCAGCTGCAGTATTTACATTGCTGACCTATTTCAAAATATTTCACAGGATAACTATACCCTTCATAATGATGTCTTTTGCATAAAGATGCTAGTATGTTTAATATATAGATCCTTTTCCATGTGCCAGCTGGTACTAAATAATGTTGCCTGAGATGCTCAGATTCCCTCAGAAAACAAACCAATGTCTAAATAGTTCGCAGTTTATTCCTCTCTACTGAAAAACTAGCACATGTTGTTTATAACTCTGAAATAGCAGCAGCAAGGCAGCTGTTACTACAGCTTTGTACAAGCATGGGAAGACGATTATTTTCCAGTGTGTTGCCATTGGTTAGTCTCTATAATGACATCATTATGCTCTGCAATATATTTTGGAAGACTGGCCAAGCCTCATGTCACTGAAATGAACAGAACTCTTTTTACAGTTGGATTCCCTGCCAAGACGAGGTGAATTTCCCCCAATCAAATGTACATTTCCAAATCTCTGATTTAGATTCTTTCCAAGTATGTGAAGAAAGAGTGCAAAAATCTAACATAATGTAAACTATCCCATCTACAGTCTTGTTAACCAATAAGTAAGCCTTTGCTTTTGAGAAATGCCAGTGTAAGAAATTATTTTCTGCACTTCCACTCATCAAATTCAAGCCAAAAATATTATTTTAACATTTCTAAGCATAGTGGGGTTTTTAAGACTGATGGTTTGCATGGGGCAAAGTCTATTGGGAGATCTCAGTCAAAAACTCAGTCTGTGTATGTATTACAATGCTACCACATAATGGCTTCATTGTACAGTTGGCTACTTATACACACCATCAGATGTTTCAATGAATACCCTCTGGGCCGCAGGTCATGCTAGGGTTGATATGTCAGGACTGGTGGTAGTGGAAGGGTACATTACTACTTACTGTTTATAAATCTGTTTTATGAAACTTCACCACATCATATTTAGAAAGGAGTTAAAATATCGCCATACCTGAGACTGTGCATTGATAGTGGCCCCTTCTTTAAGCAGGACTTTGACAACTTCAGCCTGTCCAGCCAAGGATGCAATGTGCAGGGCTGTATTCCCTTTCTGTTATGAAAAAAGATATCAAACCTCATTAAAAAACAGTTCAGACAGCAGCTGATTATAACATTCAGAGTACAAGTCTATGCTAAGGCATGCCTTCATAGAATCCTGATTTACTCTGCAGTCCATAATGCTGTGCATATGTTACGTAGGAGAGAGCTGAATCTACAGCCCTATGGCATTCCAGAGGGATGGTATAACAGCAACTCTCATGGATGTAGGCCTATAACCTTTTGGGGTATTGCCTAAAGAGTTTTTAAGAGAAAACAAATCCGTCACTTACAGAACATAAATTTCAGTGGAATTAATTAAGGTTTTAGGTTCAATAAGAGGTAGTCTACATCTCAAAATGAAAATAGAGGGCAAAGGAAAGAATGACATTACTTAGGTGGTACTATTTGAGGCAAAAAAAAACCCAAATATGTTCCAATGTCGCTGTTGGGAGTCCTTGAGATAAAACTCCAAAGGACTTAAGAACACAGAACTAACATGGAAATAATATGTTCTGGTTTAAGAGGTAATGGTAAGAGGTGCTAATCTCAGAGCTGTTGCTGCTGTTGGTGAAATTAATGTAAGGTGTTGGTAAGGTGATGAAGTACATTAACAGTTTTAATATCATACACCAAGTAGCTAAAGTTATGAGAATAAAACAGCATAATAAGTGGTTTTATTTTTAGATTAGGTCTTCAGTCTGAAGTGTATCCTGATAGCCTCTTGGAATCCACTCTTATCACTGCCTGGTTTTCCCAATTAACTGTTCTTTCCTACAGTAACTAATTGCTTGTATATCTTTTTGATTTCCTAACTTAACCAAAACCATTCTTTTACAGACATTTTAAATTTAGCAGTAAATGTTTTAGAGTAAAGATTTTCAGAGTTCTTTAAACATCATCATTGCTTCCAAGTCTTTTAGGTCACTCGCATTAAAAGTGAGAAGACCACTTATGAGTTCAAGTCAACCTTAAAATGTAGGTTATTTTTTAAGTTATAATTTTAGTTATATTGATATGGTTGTAACCTGTGAGGCTAGATTAAAAGAATAAAATGAAGTAGGTACAATTTTATAAATCAGTCAGTCTGTCTGTCTCTTATTTTTCCAAAGGAATCACTTAATGCAGTCAATAGTATTATTGAGTTTTCAACAGAATTACACAGTCCAAGGATTCCAAACCAGAGTATAAACTAAATAGAAAAATGTGACATTATTGCTTTCTCTCACTCTTTCAAGTTGGGGAGAGGGGAAATTTCTTGCTCCATGGGATTCTAAGAGATTAATTAGTAGATTATAGAATCTAAATTTTAGAGAAGCTCAGGTGAGGACCAAACCTTAAAATGCAAATAGGGACTCTCAATATAAAAGTGTGTTTTTTTTTTTAATCTGAGGCTAGTTTGGAGGCTGAATGCAGTAAATCAAGACCCTCTAAATTAAAAAAAAAGAGAGTAGTCTAGTCTGAAGGACAGGAGTGGAATTCTGGAATTCTTCCACGCTGACTCATGAAGAAAAACGATATTTAGTTAGAAACGTAATGAGAATTAGACAAGACAAGTTATTCCTTCAACTCACAGAATGTGACCTCTAGGGCCATGTCCCCATGACCAAGGGCATGAGGTTGCCAAGGGGAAAAAAAGCAATGGCACAAATTCGTACCACTGCTTTTTCCCTAAGCATGCGCCCCTGCACATGGGGTTAACATGGGGGAAAATGCCCTGGGTGAGGCAGAGGAGGCTGGGGCCAACACCTGGGCTGGCCCCAGCAGCCTCATGTAGTGGCCCCAATCTTGGCACGTAGAGCCTGGCCAGCAGTCAAAGCATGGCTCTGGCCAGCCAGGCACCGGTTTCAGGTGTCACATGCTGCTGCCATGTGCACTGCCCAGTTTTTCCTTGTGCTTTTTTTTATATCAGAATTTCCCAGTATCCAAATTTGGCTCTGCTGCAAATATACAGCACAGAAAACCAAATCACTTGCGTGAGGTGCATTTTGCAACACCTCAGAACTCATGTGCATGCTTGAATGGACACGGCCTAAGGCCATGTCCAGACATGCATCAGCATTTGGTCCCCTGAGGACAACTAGTGGCAACGCACCTTGTGCCTCCGGTAGTTGGCCCCAGGGAACGCCTGTGCCATGCGTAGTCTGACATGCGGCAAATTAACCCAGAGGTGGTAGGGGAGGCTGAGGACAACACTATGCTGGCCCCAACAGCCTTACCTGGGGTCCTGGGGGCCTCCCGGGGCTGCAGCTGTGTTGCTTCTGCCACAGCGGAGTGTGGCTCTGGCCAGCCAGCTTCCAGCTTTGGGCAGCACACTTTGCCACTGCGTGTGCTGCTCCACTTTTTTTTCCCCACAGGTTTTTTTGACCCCTGGAATATCACCAGCCTGGCTGGGTTCAGATAACTCACAGCTCCCAGCCCCCTTCTCCCTGCATCCTTTCCCCCGCCCCAAGTCCCTGGCACATAGCCAGGCTGGTGCCTCACGGTATTCCCACGCACCACCTCAGGCCACAAGAGTACAGCTGGCACAGCTCCTGCTGGACCCGGCCATATGCCAGGGACTTGGGATGGAGGACAGGGTGCAGGGAGCTGCAGGTGATCTTGGCCCATCCTGAGTCTGGGTCAGAAAGAAGCTGCACCAGCTGCACCCATGTGCATGTGAACATAGTATGGCATCGGCTTAGCCATGTGCTAAGGACTCGGGACAGGGGAGGGGTGCAGGGAGAAGGGTTAGGTTTCTCTAACCTTAGTTCTTTCTGCTCAAGGTGGGCATTTATTTTGGTCAGAGGGCCACTTGGGGAGTTTGGGTAAGCTGCTGCAGTGACTTGGTGGTGGTGGTGTGGGGG